CTGCATTCCCTCAGCGCGCCCACGTCGCTTCTCGTGGAACCCATCCCGTCCTCCCGCTCTGGAAGGAGAGCGCACCTGCCGCAGCACCCCATTTCAGAACCACCCTTAGGAAAACAGCCGCTTTGGGATCGCTCCCAGCTGCCGGCCGCGACGTGACGGCCGCTCGGGGCGGGACCGCCGCCCGCCATCCCCTCCCCTCCCACCCGAGGGGCGGCCCGGCCCCTCGAGAAGATGGCGGCGGGCGCGGCGCCGTCACGTGCGCGCTCACGTGCGGCGGGCGGGGCAGCGGCCGCTTCCGGGCGCGCGCCGGGCCGGTGCGGGCGCAGGGATGGAGGTGACGAGGAGCAGTGAGTGACCGGCTGCCCGGCGGCTCCCCCTTCCCCTCGCCCTCCTCCCCCGCTCCCGGGCTTGTCTCCTTGCGTGCCTCCCCCCATGGCCGACACCCCGCGGGGAGCTCCTGGCGGCGCCCCGGCCCCCCGCCGAGGCGCGGGCTGCTGCGCGCCTCAGCCGCGCCTTCCCCCCCTCTGCCCGCAGATTTTAAGGATAACCTCAATAAAGTGTACGAGGCCATTGAGGAAGCGGATTTCCTGGCCATCGACGGGGAGTTCTCAGGTAACGGCGGGCTCCCTCCCCACGGCAGCGCTCGGGCTTGTTAGTCGCTTCTCTGCCACACTTGCCAAAGGCTTCAAAAAAGCCTTTTTTTTTTTGTGCGTGCGGCTGGAGCCGGAGGCTGGAGCAGAGCGGGAAGGGCCCGCGAGCAGCCCCGCGGGGAGCGCTGCAGTGCGGGCGCCTCGCTCCTAACGCCCTGCGGAGGCGCGCGTGAAAACGTCTTCATAACAAACACTGCCGTTTTGAGAAAAGAGGGCTCGGTCGGCCACGAAACACGAACGTGAGCCAAACGAGGCCGTGAGGGATGTGGTGGGGATGGGAATGCAGCTGGTGCCGTGTGTTGTGAGCCGGGCTGTGAGGCGAAGCTGCGGCCAGCGCGCTGCCCATCCTTGTCCTGCCTCGGGGCTAGTCCGAGGCCGCAGGGATCCACTGGCACCCTGTTACTGATAGAGGAGGCTTTTATCTTAGTGCCGTGTAAGATGGAGTAGGACTTTTGTAGCTAAACTTTGCTGCTAGAACACTGCAATTACTCTTTTACCAAACTAAAAGAAAATACATGAGTATTGTGGTGATGCATGCTGCTATACACTAGAAAGCCTTTCTCAAGTGGAGTGTTCTTAGCATGTGCTTTAAAGAGTGTTTTTCTTAAGTTGCACTTGTTGTCTTCTTCTTTGTGGCTGCCTTT